GAAACCCTAAACCCTAAACCCTAAACCCTAAACCGGGGTCTAAGGCCTTTCGGCTGGTGATTCGACAGCTCCGGGGTAAGCCGCCTGACATCAAGCCCCAGGCCATCGGGCGCCCTCCACGCCCCCGAATTTCCGAGCGGCTCAGGCTCTCCTGGGCTCGGGTTTCTGGATATTTTGGGATTGAAAAACGATGACGATGACGTTTAGGGGTTAGGGTTTAGGGTTCAGGGTTTAGGGTTTAGGGTTTAGGGTTTAGGGTATTTAGTATTTGTGGGTTCGTGCAAAGCTCACACCGAACAATTGAAAGTATTGAAGCTGGGATGCGGACATGGTGTTGTCATGGGCTGAGCCGCGCTAGCCATAGCGGCCCGGGGCAACCCACACACATGTCCTTTTCCCTTTGCCTTTGTTTTGTATGAGCTTTCTTACGCACGTCCTCTCCCCTTTGGTTTTGCTTTGTATCACTGGCTCCGGTTGCGGCACCAAGAAATCCAAACCGCCTAAACCCCAAAACCCGGGAGGGATGGGCATGGCAAACCTGCTCTGAAATTGGGGGAAATGAAGGCGCCCCATATTCCCCCTGCAAGGAGGGTTGGCAAGCCCAAAGCATGAAGAGGAGTGGGAAGTCCGGCCCCGAAGTTGAAAGCAGTGTGAGGCGCCGCAAACGCGAAAACCTGACAGCATTCTAGGGGTAAAGTGACCGAAAGCCTGGCGAAGACCTCGCGAGAGAGGAGTTTCGAGGACGAGGGCGAAACATGTCAGCACTTAGAAACATCAAGCCGAAGCAGGGTAAGTCAGAGATATGAAGCAAAGAGGCAGTTGAGCTAAGCGTGCTTGCCATTTGGGTTTTGGAGATTGCGCTTCTGCCTCAGTCGCGTGTGCAGGATGTGCAGAACATTTGCAGAATTGTCAGTGTCTTGGGGTCAAATTTGTCGCTGCCGTTTCCGGTGGGCACGGCATGCTGTTTGGGCGCACTTGGCGCTCGGAATGCGAGCACCCCACCAGTGCCAGCGCTTTCAGGCTATGCCGCTGACACCGCGGCCGGGGAGCTTGGAGCATTCTCCGGCTTTGTAAACCCTAAACCCTAAACCCTAAGCCCTAAACCCTAAACCCTAAACCCTAAACCCTGAACCCTAAACCCTAAACCCTCCCAGTTTAGGCAACTTTGGGTTTTGGGATTCTACCCCCTGGGCGCTTGGTGTTGGTTGTGTGGCCTCTGATCACAGCTTTTGATTCCGCCCCGTCTCGTATGGATATGCGCGTCACGACAAGAGAGAAACAGCACGCGACGTGCATCAACAATCTGCACACTTGCATTGCTGCTGGTCTTTCGCATTGATGGAGTACCAAACTTCTCTGCGCCACAACGTGGTGCCAATGGCAACCAATAGAACTTGGTACAAACTCTTCAAACCCTCCAATTGTCGAAAGTGAGACTCCAGATATCTTGTTAGGCGCTTGCTTGTTACTTTTCGGCTATGGTCTGGTGAACTACCGTGCGGGATGCCCCACTCCACCTAAGCCGAACAGTGAAAGCCTCCCCCCTAGCATCCAAAATCTGGCAGTGTTGAGGTCAGACTCGCGACTTTCGCGGCCTGCGAGCAACCCACACTTGGCAGTGGGGCCATGTGTCCAGGGCACAGCAGGGCTTTCGGGATCTTTAGAGTATCGGTTGCTGGCTTCAAGAGGCTTTGAAGAGCTGGGAGGGGCAGGCCAGGGCACAGATGAGAACGTCTGCTCATCGGAAGTTCAGATTTGGGTGTTCTGGCAGAGTACCGGCCCTTGGCCTAGGCCCTCGACCTAAGCCCGAAACTCACAAGTAACGTCACATATCCTGACAATCAAGTAGCTCAACTTCTAAATGCTGCCACCCCATCTGACATCGTTCGACCATGCGCTTTGTGCCAATTTGCATGATGAGGGTCAGGTTCATTGCATTCGCCCATGTTGGCTGGGTACTCCTCCAAAGGCGGACTTTTTGGTTGCTCTTCGCAGTAGTGGGATCACGACCCACCTGCAGTGCCCTCTTGCGACCCTTCTTGCCACCCTAAACCCTAAACCCCAAACCCCAAACCCCAAACCCTAAACCCTAAACCCTAAACCCCAAACTAAGCCGTGGGAGTTTGTGCGGGCTCTGTGCTATTCATTCAAATCTCGGCCAGTGCCATTTTGGCTCCGAAGGGCTACGTCTGTTCTTCATTACCCTCTGCCCCCGCACGGTGTGCGGCAGGCATGATACCTGGGAGCGGGGGGAATCTGGGGGGAGGCTTTGCATTTGAGCCCGGGGCCCCAGCGCCAGAGGGCACGCAATCAGGGGCACCTCCATCAAAGAGGCTTCGGGCTCAAGAGGTACCACCCTAAACCCTAAACCCTAAACCCTCAACCCTCAACCCTCAACCATCAACCCTAAACCCTAAACCCCTTAAACCCTAAACCCTAAACCCTAAGCCCTAAGCCCTAAACCCAAAACCCTCAACCCCTTAAACCCCTGGGTCAAAGGCGGATGTTTTTCGCTTCCAAAGCTTGGGCCCGGCACCGCGGGTACCAAGAGCACTGCCGTGGACGTGACCCCCAAGAGCTCCCTAAGCCCTAAGCCCTAAGCCCTGAGCCCTAAGCCCTAAGCCCTAAACCGTTCACCCTAAACCCTAAACCCTAAACCCTCCAAAACCTCCACACCCCACGGCTTTCGATAGTCCGAGCCAACTCTTTCATGTGTTGAGTGAACGGAAAGCCGTTCAGCACTACCCACACGCATCGCAACAAGAACAGCGCCACGCTCCTCTCCAAGCCGCCCAAATGCGGAAGCTCCCGCCCAAAGCCTGGCTTCAACCACCTTCTGAACACGGACAATTTCAGGTCCCAAACGCCACGCCTCTCGCTAAACTTTTGTCCCGGTTTGTGAAAACCGAGGTCGCAGCTGACCCCGAGGACAGAGCGCCATGTGAGGTGCTTCCTTCTGCTGTCTTGCTAGGTGAGGGGGAGTGAGCGAGTGATCGCTGGACCTCGAGCTCTTTGGGTACGATCTCGGGCCAGCAAACCCTAGGGTGGGGTGGGGGGATTCCCCGAATGCTTGCCCGCAGAGCATTCTGCACAGTGCATTCCGTCCTGTGCATTGCCTCCGCCTCTCCGAAACGCATAGATGCAAAGACTACGACGCGGTTCGCAAACTGCAATTACTCGTTCGTGCTGAACCCTTGCAGAACACGTAGGGATCGAGGCCATGAAGCGCAGTAGTTGCCCCTCTTCCTGACTTCGTGAAACCGCAAGTCCACGTTGAACGTGGGATCTCAGATGTAGTTGGTGCCCGACATCAGACTACAATAACCGTCAAACTCTAACCCAAGTTGCATAGACCCGGACTGCTCGAAGCACTATGCCCTGCACCGTCGGAATCCTCTTTGTTCCAAGTGCGATGTGCCGGTATCTTGGCATCAGCGCCTGAACTTCAAAACGTGCGAACTCACTCGCCTCGACAATCTTGCGAAACCTCAAGTGCTGTCAGCTTTGAGTTCGAGCATAAGTCTTGAAGACAGGTTTTCCCTCGTGTAGGGCTTGTGGAGCTTGAGGGCTCTCAGCTGTATTCAAGTTTGTTCATTTATTTACGGGCCCCTTGCGGATGATAGGGCTTTGCTTGTGTGGTCGTTGGCCCCTAAGTTGACTCACAACTTGCTTCGCAGGGGTCGAAAATGCTGGGTGCACCTTTGGGCGAGGGTCTCAGCGGATCGGGGTTTGGGACGGTGTCCAGGCGTTGGACGTCAAGGACAGGAAAGGATGGTTTGCGGGTTGCACTCTTGACCGTAGCATGATGGAACTGTGGGAGCGGGCATTCGGCTGCACTTCTGACTGGAGGTTTCCTGCGATATTGGGTGGTTAGCTGGAGCTATGACTGCATGCTGTACACGAATCGCTAGACATCAGTTCGAACTGGCATCACCGCGAGTTTGTCCTTGGATCTGTTTATTCTTGCTGAGTTTGGTGTGGTTATCCATTGCTTTTGGTTCTTAATTGCACGTGAGGCACTGCACGGTGCTTGCAAACAAGTCTTGTGTAAACTTCGTACTCGTAAGTAGCAGCACCACAGTTAAAGCACACAGTAAGCAGTAAACACGAATTGCACGTTGAAGACACTTACCAAGTCTCGGACCAAGGCACATTCCCAAGCGTGTACTCTGTGCCGGTATCTGTCTGTGTGCGAGTTGTGTGTGCAAGCTGCAAGAGCCCCTGAGGTTGCCTAGGTCCCGGGCGATTCCGTGGAAATCGTGCTTCCGTCACCATCAAGTGAGTCCTTCGTGCGTGAATCATGTTTCGGAAACCTGTGTCAGGCTAAAGGTTTGGCCCCTGAATCGCTAAATCCAACATGGCGTTGGAAGACTCAGGTCGTCACCTTCTCCATCCTCTACGTGGCTGCACTGGTGATGACGGCACTCTCGTGGCCGGAGTGATAATTGCTTGGGACCGGGTCGCTGTTCTTCTTCCGCATGGTTAGATAAGACACGAGACGACCCAATGTGTAGAGCCACGGCTGACTAGGGTCCCTGCAACGCTCCATCATAGTGATTGGTCTCAAACTCTAGGGACTGAGGCCACCTGCCAGACCTCCTGCTTGATAGGGTTCCAGGATTTTTTTTTTTTTGGGGGGGGGGGGTTCGGGTGAAAGCCGCACAGGTGTGTGGTTCGCCCATGTTCTTTCAAAACATTGCTGCCAAAGAAGACATGCGTGGGGCAAAAGGATGATTTCTGCATGATGTTAGGGTGTTGCTGCAGCAGAGCGTTGTGCATGGAAGCCTCGTTGTGTCCGGTTGTGCCTTTTCGGTGCCCAGAAGTTATAGCAGATGTTCGTGCCACATCCTCGAACCGTGTGGCCCTACCACGCGCAAACCCGGAACCTTTGAGTTTACGTGAGCCCATGGCCTGAAGCCGCAAGCTCCGCACGCTTGGTTGTGCATCCTAGGTGGTCGGACAACGGACTCTGCTTCAAGTCCTGGTGGTGCGTGTCGCGAATGTACATCTGCTTCCTGCCTCGAGTTTTTGTGATGTTGCGCTGGATTATCTCGGTGTTCTTGTCTGTTTTGGCGCTTGGGCATCGGCTTCTTTTCTTATACACTTCACTCGGGGTTTGTCGGTTTTGAGGCTCTGGCCTCGAGTTGTTGTAAGTCTGACAGTTGCTGGAACAGGGGCGGAGGTTTCAGCTAAGTCCGAATCGAGAATCCACAAGTTGTCGCACGGGCGTTCTTAAGGATCTGCGCGTCATCAACTTTCCTGAGCTCCAAACATGTGGGCCCCCAGCTGGGCCCAAGAAAATATGTATCTCAAGTCAGAATCCGAAGCCTCGATAAAGAGTCTCCTGAACCCTTATGCTGGTGTGCACAGATGAGAGCCCTCACTTTGCCCTCGACTCTCGAGATGTTCGGGGGGTTGCACGCAGCCTGTTAAATCTCTGCGTTTCAGTGGCTCACCGCCATCACCCTCCTAGAATGGACACTGTTGCCGCCAAGTGCTGCTTCCTTCACAATTGGCTCCAGTGCTAGGCACCTTCATCGCGGCCCTCATGTACTTTGGGCAGCAGTTTGGGCGAAGCATGTCGGATTTCGTCAGTTAGCTACGGTGGAGAGTTCTGTTGGCAATTTAGATCTACTTGCGCTGTTGGCGTTCTGGTCCATTCCCTCACAACCGCAATGACTTTTTGCACGTTCCTTGAACATCCCCTTGCCTTCAAACCAAAGGCAATCCAAAACCCCGATGGTCACGAAAATGGGAGTTTGAGCTGCAGAGGGTCAGAGGAGCAACCAAACGCAGTTATTGTTCCAATAGCCTGAAGGAGAGTTCTTCCCCAAGGTGTTTGAAAAACTGCTGTCAGGTGGGTGTGGTACCTGTGGCGAAGCACCACCAGAGAAGGCACCTTCCCAATTTCGGTGTGTGTCTCTGAGGGGGAGGGGAGTTGAGATCACCGGGCGTGGCATTGGAGTTGCTCTCAGGAACAATCAGGCTTCAACGGCTGCAACCTTCAACTGACCCTGCCAGCCTAGACTGGGGGGTGCCTTTGGGCCTCGGCCGGTCCTCGAACACAAAGTCCCCAAGGAAGCTTGCACTGAAGCAGCCAGTTTCTGCACCTGCAGCACTCCCAACAAACGAGTAGTGCTGCAGTAGTAGGGTAGCTATATTGTCAGTTTAAGAACCTTGCAGCCCGCAGTCATCTCATTTTTGGCCATCCTGAGTTCGGGTTCAGCATTGAACGATATGGGGGTTTACGAAAATAGGGGACCCTGAATATCCCCTCTGTAATGAGGACCCCAATACGGTACCCCAAATTTCGGAAACCCCCCATATGTGGGTTGGCAAGTTTGGGGGGGGGGAGTTTGATTCGGAGCGAATACTTTTCTCGCCGAGCTCAGGCGAAGTGCCGCTGGGACTTCTCGTGTTCTGGCTGCATCTGGCGTGCTTTCAACAGCTTTTTTTGTGTGTTGGGTGGACGGGTGCCGAGACAACGGAAGCTCAAGGGGACGCGTGAGACCACCCTGTTGTTCGAAGACATTGTTCCCCAAACAGCGCTATGCCCACGCTGGGATGAAGGAATTCGCTCCCCGCCGGTACGGTGGGCGCACGGGGCCTCGAGACGGTCCGAGGTCCCGGGCACCCACATTTCCTTGGTCCAAAATCGTGGTCCCGCTAAGTCCCACTTGTGAGGCTTGCGCTACCCTCTGTGTGGTCGTGAAAACGTGTCATGTTGCAGAGCTGTTTTGTCGCCTTTTGGGTCCCTGGGGAGTGCTCTTGGAGTGGTCGTGGAGGGGTCTTGGAGTGCTTCTTGGCATCCTCTTCGAGTGTTAACTTGATGTGTTTTGGGATGGCTTTTTTGAAGTGCACACCCGACCCGCTCTCTGTGTTTTGTTGTGCTCAATCTTGCAGAGCAGCTCTTTGGCTCTCCTCGCCTCTCCTCGCCTTGCCTTCTTTTTACAACTGCCGCCTTGCCCCTTCACCCTTTTCGTCTTCCGGCGATACTTTTCCGAAGCTCTGATGATAGAAGCAGAGGTGGATTGAGGGCTCTTTTGCTCGCTGAGGTCAGCATCTGGTTCACCACGGGCACGCTTAGCGTCGGAATGTGTTCGCTGTGGCTCGGTCTTGCTTGGGAGGAAGGGGACCAAGGGTATGGGGATTCCTGAAGAACCCGGGTTGAATCTTGATTGAAAAACTTTGGGGTAAGGCTTAGAGGAGTAAGAATGAATGTTGCAGGTTGATGGCAAAGTGCGTATGACCTGTTAACGTTAATGTTGCTGGGTGATGCACAAGAGCTGCTATTTGGGGGGTCGACAGTTGGTTGGTTTCATGGGTAGCCATGGTAGCCCGGCAATTCGCCTGCGAACGTCCGTAGTTCCTGTGCAGGGCGCCCCCCCATGCGCCCTCTTTGTCTGGGGTGTCTACGTTGGCACCCGAGCCCTGGAACGGTGGTACCCCAGACCACCGCTGACAGAAGAGCCACATAAAACGGTCGTTTTCACAGTTTGGACCTGCTAGACGTCTTGGTATGTTCGTCTTTAAGAGGTATGCAGAACAATGTCAGCCAAACTACACCCGTCTTCACAACTTCATTGCTTCTTAAATGTACAGCCCGAGGCTTGCTACCTGTACCCTGATTCAGGTGCAATTGGGCCATGGTACAGCTATGGGCCTGGCTCGATCCCCTTTGCCACTCGGCTCATGCTTGGCAATTCTGTGTGCGGTTGTTGTTTCGGATGTATTCCATATGTGATCCCTGTCTGCGGTTCGGCAGCCCCATGATATATCCCCGCCCAACTCCCCCACCCACCTCCGTTAACCTGCAAGCTTAAACCTCAAAACCTGAGACCCCTAAGCCTTACAACCGAGAACAGACCCTTCAAAAGCCTAAGGCCTAAAACCCAAGGAAAGCCTTGAGGACCCTAGACCTGAGCCTGCTCAACCTGCAAATCACTTTTGTCTCAAGTTGTTCGTGGTTCATGCCGGCAGATGTGTACTGCACTTTGAGTGATTGAAGATGGCCACCGAGCTTGCTGACTTTGCTTGTTTGCTATTGCTCTACGGAAAGAAGAAACCATGGGGGCAGAGGTCCCGACGAGTCGCCGTGGCAACCGAAGAATGGGAGGGCAACGATTCCAGCCACTGCGGAAAAGGAACAAGGAACGCGGAATCGGAAAAGTCAATGGCCAAGATCCAGGAAGGGACGCAGATGAAACAGCAAAGGCACAAGGGACGGACTAGAAAAGGATGCGAGTCGGCTAAGGTATCCGCGCACGTCCGAGCGCAAGCCACCTTGTGAAACTTCGCAAACTCAGAGTCCAGCTCAGAGTCCAATTCACTCCTCTGCCGAAGGTAACTAGGGTGAAGTGTGGCGATCAGAGGACCGGTGGTTCTCCACATGGATGGGAAGGGTTGTTGGAACAGAGGAAGGAAAAGCAGCTCTTTGCAGTCCGCATGCCCAAGCTGTCAGGACAGGCCAGGGGGTTGCTGGGATGCTCGCGGCACATTTGAAAGTTCAAACCCACTCCAAAGCCCATGAACCCGCCCCTAGACTCCTAAACTCCTAACTCCTAAACTCCTAAACTCGTAAACTCCTAGACTCCTGCGACTGTCATAAAGATGTTCCTGGACTTTCAGTCTTTCCACTGGCTTTTCAGAAGTCAGCAAGACGCCTTTTCTTGAAAACACTTGGTGCAGCCACATTTGAGAACACTTTGCAAAGTCCCGATATGATCCGCCTCTTAAACCTGTAGTGTATAGTCAACAGATAACCAGCCCACAGCAACGCTGGAATGCTTACGACCGCCGAAGGCGCGGGGCCCGATGCAGATAATTGTTTTTGGTCGGTCTTCTGTTTTCTTTCGCCCTAGCTAAAGGGCTAGTTGTCTCAGCCGTGGATGCGCCTGGGATGTCCGCAAGGATAGCATGCATAAACTCCTAGACTCCTACCCCCCTAAGCCCCTAAACTCCTAAACTCCTAAACTCCTAAACCCCTAAACCCTAAACCCTAAACCCTAAACCCTAAACCCTAAACCCTAAACCCTAAACCCCTAAAACCTACAATAGGTTTTCAAGCCCTCTCAGGAGAGCCTTTGAAAACCTCAACCGTCGGAAGCCCCAACCACGTCATGGCCCCCAGCCGAGGCTACATTACATACCCAGCAGACAACTGGCCGACGCCTTGGGGGGCAAATGCTGCCAATCTAGGGTTAGTTAGGGTTTAGGGTTTAGGGTTTAGGGTTCGTGGTTTAGGGTTTAGGGTTTAGGGGTTCTTCAAGTTGGGTCAGAAGGTTGCGCGGGGTGGTTTTCGACATTCTGGATGATAGGATACGACTCTCGTAGACACGTGTCGTGAGCATGCCGGGCCCGGTGTCCACCATGTGACGCTGCGTGGGCTGAGGCCCCAAACTCGGGCCTTTCCCAAGTTCAGGAAAACTCTGTGTTCATTCGAGAGGCTTGGCGAGGCTAACGATCCCGAAGCAATCCGACCTGAATCGCAAGCCATCGACCCTTCATTCCACCTTCCCAACTGCATGATGACTACAATGATTCAGGATGCGGCTGACTAAATTGTGTAGAAGACCTCGAGGAATAAGCCAACCAAACCCACATTCTGGATAAACAAACCAGGAACCTTCAGAAAGTGTCAGAACTGATGGCCGTATCTTCTTCCAGCAGAACAGGCTCAGCAGTCAAGCCCAAAAGCCTGCAACGTGGTTCCTGTTACGTGGCGCTCTTGTTACATCTGTCGCCCGCGCATGAGTAGCAGATGTGCACTTGTGGGCCCTATCTCGAACCCGAAACAAACCTGACCTCCCCGAGTCCAACATCGGATTCCGGTCCCATCTTCTGCCCAGGCCATGGGAATACACCTCCACCAGGTGTATCATGACCAATGCACTCTGGCTGGACAAGTCAACTGCAAAACACGAGTGTGACACCTGAAGCTAAGAGCAGCCGGCGCACGCAACGTGCCAGGGTGCCCGAAGTTTTCGAAATTGTTCCTCGTTGTGAGTCGTTTTGGGTCGAGACCCGGTGTTGGTGGGTTTGGAGTTTTGGTTTTGGCGGCTTGGTGCAGAGTGTGTTTAACTGCTGAGCACTTGGGCACGGATGCTGCCGAGTTTGCAGATACATGTCCACCGAAGCAGTTGCAATGTTACAGTCAGGAACACAATTGCTCGAGCTTGGAGCATGCGGCCTGGTGGTTGTTGAGATACGTTGCCCTGTTCTGTCAGGCAGTGCAGTGGGTTCTGACCGCTGGAATCATCGAGGAGTGCGCCTGACGCTTGTGTAGCCGGAGAACTAGAATTGCTGTTCAGTCCTGGGTTCAAGAAGCTTGAGATTCAGCATTTGGAGCCGTGCTCGGCGCTAAACCTTAAGCTTGCCGCTGAGTCTCCCTAAGTCGCCACGCTAGTCCACATTGTCTGTTTCTCACCAAGCAATACATTGTATCCTGTGGCAATTCAGGCGACAAAACCTGATATTTTCAAAGGAGGCTCTCCAATAAACCTTCCGAGGAGGGCTTACAGCAATGGAGCGTTGCAGCAATGGAGCGCCGAGCGCGAATACTCTACACACGCCGCACCCTGATGATTAGCTGCAATCAGAGCATGCATCCTAGATCTCGCCGTCCGGGCAACAGGGTCCAGGCCCCCACACGTCACCAAGAACATGGCTTCGGAAGCTGTGCCAAGGAACTGATCAGGAAACGTCCAGTTCCTTGAATGCGTGGGTAAACTCTAGCGGCCCGGCTATGTGTGAGTCGCTTGTGAGAGAATTCTTCCAAGACAATGCAACGACTTCCTTGTGGCCGCAGGAGAGCTTCAAGTTCGCCTCTCTACTCAGATTGCGGCCGTCGCCTTCGAAGGTTGGAGTCCACATTTGATCGCGGGTTATGGGGCTAGAGATCAGTGTTTGGAACTAGAGGAGAGGCTTCTGTTTGGTGTTCTTGTTCTTATGCTGCTTTAAGCATTGTGCTTGGCCAGCAGGCCAGCCCGGAGATCCGCTTTAGCCTGTCGAAACTTTCGATTTCTTCGTGGGAAGGAGCGTTCAATGGTCTGATGCCTTCGGCCCGTTTGCCTTACATTGTAGTCCTCTGCATGGCCATGCTTAGCTTGAAGCTGTTGAGGATACAAGACACTCCCTGCACATACATGCACATACAGTGCAGTACAGAATCCACTCTGCTAAGATGTATAGCCCTCAACCCCTGTACATGGGCTCTGATCTCGGTGATCTTGGTGCAGGTGTTGCAAGGCGTCGCTGGCTGCAGGTGTAGGTCTCGCGGTGCACAATTCTGGGGTGGGGGGGCTCTTTGGCAGTGCGAGTTTGGAGTTCATGGCATCGAGGCTCCACTCCATAATCCAACACCCAAGACCTCCAACTGCTGGTGCCTTGGATCTCCTCCAAGAAGCCCAGATTCTCAATGGGTCCAGTCGCTGAAGTCTAAGTTGCAGACATCCAGAAAATATGTGTTTCCTTGGTCGTTTCAGTTTGCGTGCTTGCTTATCTTCTTTACCGTGTATGATTGAAACAGTGAAACCTCCACAAAAAACAGCAACGCCAAGCCCCGAGCCTTCAACAAGAAGTGCCCGAAGCAGCGCCTCAAGCCCTGCCTCTGTCTTCGCAGCTCCCTTGAAGTGGTGTAGCCATCCTCAAGTACATCCTGGCAACCTCGATCTGCTAGATCTGAAGACCGAGAACGTGCTGAACATGCTACCGGCCTGAGCAGGTTGCCTGGCCTTCCCAAAGCATGGTACATGCGGCTGGCTGATTCGCCCCTGGCTGTGTCCTGGCTTCGAAGGGTTTGAGTTGCGGGCGTGAGGTTGGAGAGGCGACGTAAACCCTGAAGTTATTTGGGGACTGTGGGCTTCCTTAGAGCCTGACGACGAACTTCTTAAGTCCGAAGTCCGAAGACGACTGGCCCTGGACGTGTTGTTTCTGCCCGAAGCCTGACTTGAGCCTTGAGGCGTACTTCCCAACCTGCCAAGGTACGGAAGTTGTGAACTATTGTGAACTCTCCATGTCCCTCCAAAAAGCTCTAATTCAAGAGGTCACTCGGGCTTTTAAGGTGAAGGAGGACACTTTGGTTGAGACTTTGTAGTTGTCTTTCGCTTGATGCGGTTGAGAAAAACATCTTCGTCTAGGGAGGTTGAAGACTGGCACAGGCTAAAGTAGCCTGCACATGCCTGTGCAAGCACCTGAACATTGCACTTCAGATGCTCAAAGCCGCTCTTTCTTTGTGTTGACGTCACTCAATTTGATACTGTAAGCCATACCCTCTTATCCCATCAGAAAGGACTTCAGTCGAGCAATTGCTTTGCACTGCCAGCCCAGAACTCTGTAAAAGGGCCGAATTCATGTCAAGACAGGGCGAACAAGACCTTGAATACCAGCTTCAGTGCAGGTAGCACTGTGCGGAGTTGCAGCAGGAGGAGGACTGGCGACGACCGAGAATTTTATGTACATCTTTAGCGCCCCGATTAACATAGTTCTCAGCTGTGCGGTCAAAGGGATGTCATCGCCACCCACGCATGGACCCACAAGCCCCAAAAGCACAAGCCGTGGTGCTGTCGGGAGTTTGGCATGTGACTCGGGCCCTTTGGAGCCAAGCCCATGTAAAATACCCTCGAGAGTATCCTGTCTAGTAGATGGGAGCCTTGTGAATGCAAAACCCTACGCCCTCCAGAGAATTCCTCAGAATTGGCTAGTGTCCAAAGTCGCTGCCTCCAAGCAGGGAGCGGAAAGACGAAATTTCTTTTCGATCTGACATCTGCTTGAAGCCCCAAGCCCAAGCCGGAGGTGGCTCGGAGTTGCGGTCCGAACCGGGGTTGTGGGGATCAGGTTCAGCCCGCTCCAGGAAAGATTCCGGGCCTCTATATCCCTCGAATTGGGATCTTCATACAGTACCGTCTCATTCCATGTCCATGATAGTCACCGAGTCAGCGCACCTTGCAGCATTTCGGGTGTCGAAGGGTAACCCTACTCTTCGCGTTTTTCGCCCGCATCAAACTCTCCCCAAGCTCCATGATACCCGAGTATAGCTTGAATCCCCAAGTTTCAACCCATCCTGCAGAAGCTTGACTCGTAACTCTCAATAAAATCCCCGGCTTCACCAGATGATCTGCACCCCTTCGGTCCAAGGTACAGAAAGCATTGACAAAGCTTTCAGAGAGGCGCGTGGGTTTGTCTTGCTCTTGGACGGGTTCAGGTGCATGAGCGAAGCTCACTGCACCAGTTGTGGCAGATAGTGGAGATGCTGATAGTCAGTTTTGCTCCCAACACTGGTTGCGACAGCTCAAGGCTAGGCCCTTAGGGTTTTGCATAGGCCTTTGTCAGGGGCTATGCTAGGCGCAGAGGTCTCCTAAACACCATAGCTACTACTACTACTACTACTACTACTACTACTACTACTACTACTACTACTACTACTACTACTACTACTACTACTACTACTACTACTACTACTACTACTACTACTACTACTACTACTACTACTACTACTACTACTACTACTACTACTACTACTACTACTACTACTACTACTACTACTACTACTACTACTACTACTACTACTACTACTACTACTACTACTACTACTACTACTACTACTACTACTACTACTACTACTACTACTACTACGACTCCTGCGGTCAGCGTCGCTTTCGTGATTACGGTTATCTTCACTGTAGAAGAACTGATAAAATGTATCTGGTAGTTGGAGCATCTTGACGAATAACGAAGAACGGACAATAATGGCTTTCAAATGCATTTATGAAAAAAACAGCAACAACAAGTACGAATTAGTATGTAATGTGAACGACAAATCACGAGCAACAATGCAGAATAAGCCCGAGCCTACACCTACTTAGGCTGCGACTTCTCTACTCAAAAAATCCAAGATCCGAAGGTCCGAAGCGAAAAGTCCAAACTCAAGCGGCCCTGCCTTTTTTTGATCCATTGGGTTATGAGCGTGCTTTCAGCCTTGAGCTCTGCTTCACCACTAAACCCTAAACCCTAAACCCTAAACCCTAAACCCGAAACCCTAAACCCACGAAGCTCCTGGACCCCCAAAGCAGGGAGACCTGGAATCGGCGTATGGTCGAATCGCGGCATCCTTCGCCCATATGGTGTGGACAGGTGGCTCGGCCGAGTCATGTCCCTCAAACATACCCGCAAGCCTCAGACCTCACCCGAAACTTCAAGACAATTTGAGGCTCTCAGCCACTTCTTCAGATCTCAGCGGGCAACGCACGTACCCGTGAACCACCAAACCCTACCACCCTGAACATGCACCCCGGTTTAAACTTCTTGCTGTTGATGCAGGCGCAGTGTCATTTTCTTTACCTTTTGGGCCAAGGGTTGTGGGAGACGAGCTTCAGTTGAAGGGTTTCAGCATGTCACGACGTGGAGGGAGGGATCAGCCAGGTGATGCAGGTTATCTGTTGGAGTTTTTGGGTGACTGTTGGCTTGCAGACACGCGACATCATGATAGAAGGTGGCTCTCATGCTAGGCGGTTGTGGATCCTTGCTTGCCTCTTGTTTGGGGCTTGGTCGTGAACTGTGTGAACTTGTGTGAACTCTCGACCACATATGACTGCGGTTGGCAGCAAATGATAGCAGACGACAGCTTGAAGTGTTTGCGTGTTCTTTCTTAAGAAAGTTTCTATGAAGGAACGTGTGCGTTGAGGATGTACTGCAGTTCGCACCCCTGGGGTGTGTGTGCTGTCTGGCCCACTATCGGGGACTCTTCCGTGTTTCTGTGCTTGCAAGAAGTGGCAGATTGTCACGTGTCATGATGTGACAAGCTTTCCCATCACCGAAAGCTCATCAAAAACATCGCCGAAAGCTCAATCGCGCCGAAAGCGCAGTCGCGGCAAACATCCAAACAGCAAATTCAACAACGAAAAATGTCGCCAACGAAGGTTGCGTAGCTACCCCCAAAAAACTACAGTTGCTCAGAGAAGAGGCAACCTCAACTGCACTGCTTGGATCAAAGCTCAGCCTCATGCAGTCTCCGAGGGCCTCACAGGCTCTCAGAGGCCCTCAGAAGCCCTCAGAGGCCCTCAGAAGCCCTCAGAAGCCCTAGACCATCTTGGGCTTAGGGTTTAGGGTTTAGGATCCTCCACCATCTGTAAGGCTATGCTGCTTGTGGCCTGGCGAAGTGGTTCCTTGGCTGCCTTGGTTCGGCACAAGGCATTCTTCGCCCGACTCTTCAAGCCGAGAGACCGCACGCCTCTAACGGTAAACACAAAATTCACTGGGGGTTCCTCAATCCGCAAACAACTAACCCAAGAAGCCCCGTTGACGCCTTGGCCCCTAAACCTGGGCTTCTAACCCACAGCTGGCACGGGCACGACCCGAATGGATGCCGGCCCGCCTTAGGGTTTAGGGTATGTTTAGGGTTCAGGGTTTCGGGTTTAGGGTTTAGGGTTCAGGGTTTAGGGGGCCACAAAGCAGTCCCATCCTTCAAGGCAGTTCCTGCCCGAGGGGGACCCTGCCAGGCCCCGAAGTCGACGCCTGGCCACGGGTTTTCTGCAGGGGCATGTGGAGTATGAGTTGTGTGTGTTTTCCTAGGAGTGTACGGGGTTTAGGGTTTAGGGTTTGGGGTTTAGGGTTTAGGGTAGGGCTTTTGGAATCGGGCTTTGAGCTCCTGGGTGCTTTTGGGGGGCCTATGTGGCTTTCTAAACGTCTTGCTAGCGAGAAGCTGTCAACTGTTTTCATCTTCGCAAGCCTTTTGGTTTACGTTGTTTCGCACCAACAGCCGCACTCTGTGCTCTCTCTTATAACCGAGTTTGTTTGTTTCATCGGCTTATGTACAAGGAAGCTGTATATTGGAGTTGAGTTAAATAAAGTGGTGGCTTGTGGTTTCCTCCCCCAAGCCCTTGAGTCCTCTAGCCCGCTCCCACAGTTCAGCAGCGAAGCCTTGTATCGCAGGCTTGTATCGATGCCATGAGTCACTTCCTGAGCAGTCCCCAATGCATGTTCATGCCCATCTCAAGTTCCAACGATTGCGACATGCGGGCGCATCCGAGGCGTTCAGTTTCTACTTCCTCCGATATTTTTGCACGGCCTGTACAACTGGCCACCGGGCAGCCTAGTCGTTCCAAAGCCATAGCCTTTCGGAACTCCTAGGGCCCGCACTTCAGGCTCCATTCAAGTTCAGGAAGTTCACTTGCTTCACTTGTGACGGGAAAAAGGTTCCCGGGATTGAACATGGGATGTGATGTGTCTGCGGCTTCGGTTGCACGCTGCAAGTTTTTTTCTGAACAGCCGCAGCAAATCATTACCCAACGCGAGTGTAGTGAGATGCCGAAACTCTCACACCCTTCAATTTCTGGGTTCCTGTCTTCTCTGCTTGTATTTGTTAAAATCTGTAGGGCCGACTTTGGAAAGGCTCAAAGGGCTTTCAAAGAGCACCAGCATGCACCACCCGCAGAACCAGCTCCACTGTCTCAAGCATGAGGAGTGGACATTTTCTTCGAACAATGAAAAGTGTGATCTTGTTTTGCGCTTTGCTGCCATAAATACAAAGAGATTGGGATGTTCCCCCCCCTTATACTAAACGTCCTTCATCGGGATTCTGGTGCCCCCTAGACGAATCCCGATTCAGGACTGCTAGTGTAAGGAGGGAACATCCCATCCCAAACAAGGAGATTATTTTATTACTATTATTTTTTTAAACCCGTCTCGAAATCAGGTGCTCTACTCTCCAGCGCTGCGAAGCCTACGAGGAGACGTACCAGGCCTTTGGTGGGTTCTCCACTCAAGAAAGATGAGGAAGCTTGTTGAAAAGTACTTGTTCGGCGGCCATGCAAAAGGGTAAAACTCCCGCTCTAAAGCAGCCACCCTAAATTTAAGAGCCTCCGGCTCAAGCCGCCGACCCCGCTGGAGCATAGTTGAAAGGTTTAAACGCGCTCGTCAGCTCAAAGGATCCAAAAGTTGATTTGCTTGAGCCTCTGTGAAACGTTGGGGGGAGTAGCACCAGGACCCAAACAGGAGCTGAAGCCAGCTTAAAGGGCAGGGCAGCCTAGGGGGGGTAGGGGGGGGGGGGGGGGGGGGGGGGGGGGGGGGGGGGGGGGGGGGGGGGCAGGGGCCTGGGTGGGTTTTTTCCAAAGGGCCCCTATGTCCTGTGCGAAACCACCTATGGTCCGTGAGTTTATGCGGTGTGGGTGGCCTTCCATGGAAAAGCTGCCCGGGTACCCCCCCCTACCCCCCCCTCCCCCCCCGCGTTTTGGGAAAGATTCACCTCCTTTTCCCATCGGCGGACCCTAAACCCTAAACCCTAAACCCTGGGGCCTGAACCCTGAACCCTGAACCCTGAACCCTAAACCATGTACTTGGAAGGATCCTTTGTCGGCTTCTCAGAGCCCTTGCCAGTCCTTGCTCCTGATGCCCCCACCAATCCTGTGTTACGCAGGGAGACCCTTGCAGCCCATTTTGGGGTTTATGATATTAGGGGGTACCTTATTGATGTCCTTATTGGAAAGGAATCCTACTATTTGGAGGTTGAGGGCCCTGTATTTTCGTAAACCCCCACATGGGTGAGCCCTTAGTCACAGGTGCAAGGCTTTCAGGACGTCAATACATAAACCTCATTCGAAGAAACCTAGTTACGCTAGCAGACAAGCTCCTCCGGAATTCGCCTTCCCCAACGTATCGTTTCGTGATCGGGTGATGCTTAGAGACCGCGATTCCAAGTGAACACTTGCGATTCCGTGGACTGTACATTGATGTCAAAAGGGTCCCGGTCAAGGCCCCAAACCCTAAACCCTAAACCCAAACTGCCTTCGTGTTTCATCCAGGGACAGCTGTACAAAAGCGATGGCTGCTACCTGCCGCCAACATGGCGAATGGTTTTCAAAGCAGCACACACCGTGCGGAGCCAAGCCAACACAAATCTTCCTTTCTCGTCGCACTGTATGTGCAACAACGACACTTGTTGCGGGTTGCCGGTTGTTCGTGGTGGTTGTGGTGGTGGTGGTTGTGGTGGTGGTGGTGGTGGTGGTGGTTGTGGTTGTGCGGTTGTGGTGCGGTTGTGTTTGTGGTTGTGGTGGTGGTTGCGGTGGTGGTTGTGGTGGTGGTTGTGGCGGCGGTTGTGGCGTTGGCGTGGTGGTCTCAGTCATCTGCATGCTGTGCCGCTGAAGGATGTTTCGGATAGGATTTGATGATCTCAACCTAAGGGCCGTGATATGGTCCCTGCCTGAATATGGTCTCTTCCCTTCTTCAACGGGTTAGCTGGCGTTTGGAGGGTATACTGTACAAGGTTCAGAATCAAGAGGCCATACGCTGGGCCCTCGTGACTGCCCCAAGATCAAAGGATGCAGGACAGAGGGTGTAGCAACCTAGCTGGACATAAGTGTGCTGCGTACACCGCATCGCAAGGCCCTGAGGCCTTGAAGCTAAAAACCACACACTCTTGCCCCCCAGAGCACGTTAGACGATCCAACAAACAAAGTGCCGCTCCACACCACCCCTTTCTTCGAGTCGGAGACAGCTCAGATTAGTAGGGTTGATGGTTCGCGCAAATCCCATGTTGCTCGAAGCTGATGCAATGCTGAAGGGTACAACTTCCCCATACAACTTCCCCACCTCTACGATTTCACCCAGGTTGCGCTTAGAATTACGATGTGGGCACACTGCGTGGGTTTCCCATCTGTCCTTGTCTGTAAAATTCCCAGACTCTTTGTTTTTGGCGATTGGGGGATGAGTGCCACTCAAGGGGGCTGTTGGAGGTGCTTTGACTTACCTGCAAAGCTCAGGTCGTGATGCTTCTGAGCTTCTACTGGCCTCTCGGCTGGTTCACCTCTGCATGCCCGCCCGAGCCATTGCAGCCACTACACAGAGAAGATGCAAGAGACCCTCTCAGAGAGAGTATGGCTGTAGCCGACCAAGGGTGACTGCACGTTTCCTCATTAGAAGTATCACGAGGGCAAAAACAATGACCCCTCAATCATCTGGATTCAGGAGATATAGGACTCGGTGAGGTTGAGGGGGAGGGGGATTTTGACCTCAGGTACCCATGTCTAGAAAAGGTGGGGGTTGTTGGCTCAGGCTCAGGGCGAGACCTATGAGTTCTGAAGAAAGTATGGAGAGTGTGTGCTTCTTGCAGTCAGGTGGCATGCGGAGTTTTCCGAGATCGCAGGAGATGAGGAGGACTCGAAATGCATAGTGACCACCTCACCACACCTCAGGTTCGGGAACCCCCTCAGAGCTTTCGAGCCCGGTGCCATGGTCGCGAATCATATCTTTGTAGAAGGACCTCGAATTTTGGGCTGAAAGAAGCCTCCTGACACCACATCTCTCCGCCCTCCTTGCTTGCACTTCCTGCACTACACGCCCTGCACGGAAGAGGGGACGGATTCAGCGCTGTACGAAACGTCAAGGTCAGGTATAGGCCGAAGGTGCCTTAGAGTTGGGAGTCTTTCGTCTAGACATCCTACCTTTCAAGTCCAGACCCTACCGAAAGATTTCCTGAAAAAAGGCCCTTCACTACAGGGATGCTTTCCCTGTGCTCCAGACCTCCATGACGCCCCTTCACTCAGCATGACACGCATCGAGCCGAATCTAGCCACATCACGGAGTCTGTTTCGCGGTAAAGGGTTTAAACCCTTGCCTGTCCTCGTCCTGATCCCCGAACCCCAGATAGTCCAAACACCCCAAACCATCTTGTGACCGGCATCGAAAATATTCAGCGACCTTCGGCTTCTGTTTTGCCTTCGTCAGGAGGGCTTTGTTGAGTTTGGCGGTGACTTCAGTGCAGCAGTTTGTAAGGCTTAGTTGGACTGCGGTCTCATGTTGAAGGTCCCCTGACAAGTAGGACACGCGTCCGAGTTTTGACATGCGAGCACGTTCAAGAACGCTTGGCTGTGTGATGAGCTGAATTCCCGACCCTTCACAAATCCCGAAACCTCACCCTCAATTCACCCTCTAAAACCTAAACCCCAAACCCTAAACCCTAAACCCCAAACCCTAAACCCTAAACCCTCGACCCTCAACCCTAAACCCTCTGCCCCCCCCCAATGTGAGGACCAGGATGAGCCGGTGGCTGGGAGCCGCGCAGCCGAGGCACCCCCCCCAGGCTTTTTTAGGGTTTAGGGTTTAGGGTTTAGGGTGTAGGGTGTAGGGTTTGGGGTTTAGGGTTTAGGGTTTAGGGTTTGGGGTTTAGCGTTTGGGGTGTCGGGTTTAGGGTTTAGGGCTGTTTGGTGGGGCCTTGTGGAACCCTACTCCGTGAAGCGTGGGTGGGGCTCGGGGGTCAGGCTTGGGAGTCTGGATCTGGGGGCTGCAGCTCCCAAACCCCAGCCCCCAAAACCACTCCGCGCCCCAGGTTCGACGCTCTGCAGTTCAGTCATGTTCAATCAACCTAAGGCAGGAGGACTGTCTGAGGCCCGCAGAATCAGATGATCCTAGCAGTCGTAGACTTGGTAGTTTCCAACATTCGAAGTTATTGTTTTGAATTAGCATTTCTGGCAAACCTAAGTGCTCGCGCAAAAGCGTAGCTTCCAATGCCGAGTAGGTCTAGCACGGAAACCCTAGAGCCACGATGCCTCGCTTCAAACCGACTCAGAGCTCCCCCGAAACACAGGCCGCGTAAGTGGCCTGCGGCTTGCACGCCGTTCTCCTCGCTGGCGCGCGCTTGGGTGCTTCGATGGCGTCAGGATGCCCTAAACCCTACACCCTAAGCCCTAAGCCCTAAGCCCTAAGCCCTAAGCCCTAAGCCCTAAGCCCTAAGCCCTAAGCCCTAAGCCCTAAGCCCTAAACCCTAAACCCTCAACCCTCAACCCGCCAGCCTTCTTGTCTGACACGGTTCGGGTTGTAGTGGGAAACCCATTTTTTGGATTAGATGTGGGGCTTCACGGTACTCAGAAAAAATTGATCCTGAAACAGAAATCCTACTAGAAATGCCTGAACTTTGTGTAGTAGTTCGGGACGTTCCCTCATGACCTGCCATGTGCCAAGGCTCCTGGAATGCGCAACGATGGGACGTAGCACGACTTCGGTATGCGAAGAGTCCCAGACACGAGCAGAGCCTGCGGAAAAGGGTGACCAGCACGGAGAATGCGTTTGGTTGAAACTAGGCCTTCGCAATCGGATGGCAAAGCTGTGGGGTATTAGATCGTGTCGGGGCACTTTCGCGTGGCAGACACTCATACACTCACACAATCACACACTCACTGCATCCATGATAGACTCTTCCTGATCACAAACGGTCAAGCTTTTCGCGCGTGGCTCGTTTTAAGTACTCCCCCCGCCCCCCTATGTTCCACCAAAATGTATCCTCCAGCGAGGGGGAGCAAGGCCCAACTGACAAGATGTGTTCAGGTTGGGGCCTACTCTCCAGGTCCCGCGCAGGCCGGTTTGCTTGTTGCCTGTTACCTAAAACCCTAAACCCTAATAAACCCTAAACCCTAAACCCTCAACCCTAAACCCTAAACCCTAAACCCTAATCCCGAATCGTTGCGCGAAGAGTTGCAGTTACCAGGATCCGTTCGCTTCTGGCGGCTTCAGTGATCCAAGCTGCCATCTTAAAACTTGCTTTCGACCGCTGCCCTAAGCCCCAGCAAGCCCCAACCCGCAAAGGTAAGTTTGTTTGATGCTTGCGGCCTTGCAAGTTCTTTTGGATGTCAGGGTGTAGGCAACAGTGTCAGTTCGATGTAGGCTTTTGTGAGGATTTGTGTTGTGGTCTTGTATTTGGGGCCAGGGGTTTGCGTTTAGGACTGCAGGGGTTCAGGGCGACAGCTAGTGGAAATGAAAGTTTTCTTACGGCATCTGGGACTCAGAGTTTGTGTTGAGTTTCGGCTTCGTGCTGATATGCGTTGAAATTTAAGCTTGCAGCCCAAGCCCAAAAATCAAGCATCCTCCTTTCGCACACAGGTTGGCCCTGCAGTGCCTTATGGCCCCTTGGCCCGTTCAGGTTCGTCTTAAGTGTCTTCTGGCATAGTTGAAGTTCAGCAGCTGACGATTGAATTTGGCAACATGCCAACAGCAACAACACTGCAACAGGACCCCTGCCAAATGCAAGCTTAATGTTTTTTTAGGACACTGCGAAGTTCGGTGTGCCTCAAATCACCGCTGCTTGTTGGTTTTTTTGCAAGCCAGGCATGAGGTCACTGAACAGCTCACAGCAGCAGGATCTACAGTTATTCTGGAGTGGTAATGCTACTTCGAAAGTGTCGGAGCCTACCGTAGGACCTTCCATGACTTTTGCAGATTGCCATACGCAAGAGCTCATGTTCTTAAGCACCCAAGGGACATTTCCAGGTTCAGGGATTCGGCAGTGTGGCTGCAGAAGGCACCCCGCCGCTGAATCATAAAGTTGCTTGTTTACTTGCAGCAGTCAAGCTAGTATACCCGACCTGATGAGGTTGTCAGATGCACGTCCTTCCGTCTCCTCGGGCATGAAGTCTCTCCGCGCGGCGGGTGAGGATGTTCAGTATCTCGCTACATGGTATTGCGCTTGAGGCGGTTCAACCTTGAACTCTCCAGGATGACACATGTTTTCTAAATTGCAGAAACTACGTGCAGCCCTCTGCTGTCTAGAAGTGAACGCTTCGGTTCAAATCTTCAGATGTAACCAAGGTAGTAACTTCTATGCCATGGTACCCTGCTCGATGTTGCTCGCTTTGCGGGGCCATTGATCAGTTGTCAAGGGATGCCTTGCACCCATGTCAAGAAGATCGCCAACCACATCGGTCAAGCACAATCTACACTGCCCGTAGGAAACTGAAATCCTGGGCCCAAAGCCCAATGAGACCTTAGTTTGATCGTTTACAGGTAGGGTATATAGCCGTCCCCCAACTTGCTCCCCCGACATGAGTTGGCGCGTCTGGGGATAGACCAAGACAGTTGGCAGCACGGCCGAGCGTGCTTGGGTTTGCGTTCTGGATGAAGTTACGATGCTTTACCAACTTGTTGAGGTGCAAGCGCCTGCTCGGGTGAAAAGCATACTTAGTGTGTATCTCTATATGTGCGAGACGTGTATTTCGTTTATGTGTTTGCCCGCTAGGCTACTTGGGAACTCCGACCCTCTCTGTAGATTCTGGGGCCCAGAGCGTTAGTTAGCTGGGGTTTGGGTTCTCGACTGAGAGGATGTAGGCTTCAGGGTGTGAAGGCTTGAAAGGCTTAGGGTGGGCGTCCAAGTCAGGTCGGCAGGTTTCAGGTGTGGGTT